TTGACACATCATGGGAATCTTCACTTCACCAACAACGCAGACACGAGAGCAGCAACTGACCGCGCCTGGAAAGTCAGGTCTATCGTTGAAACGCTGCAAGAAACGTTTCCGTTGGGTTACAAAACGCCGCCGATCATATCATTTGATGAGGGCGTTCTACCTCTGAATAACCGGAACAATCCTACGCGTCAATATCTCAAGGCGAAGCCTCACAAGTGGGGCACAAAGCTTTTTCTGACGTGTTGTGCAGATACTTCCTACTGTATGAGGTGAGATGACTGCGAGTCCTTGCGGACTCGCGGTTTTTTTTTTGACCAAGTCTATCATGTTGTATCTAATGTTGTATGCTTGTATGCTGTATCCTACAACAAGAAGACTTGAGGTGTATTGTGGCAAAGCGCAGCAGGTCCATGAAGTAGGCAACGTTCCAGACAGTCAGCGATCTGCAGATCCAAACACCGGGCCGTCAGCAGTTATCCGAAACTTGGAAGCTGTCCTGCCACCACCCGAAGATGACGTCTATCACATTGTAGTGACGGATCGATTTTATACGTCAGTTCAACTGGCGTTTCAGCTACTACATAGGAATGTCTACAGTATCGGCACGATAATGGGTGACAAATTGGGCTATCCTCAGCAAATTGTTGAAAAAAATCGAGACCGACCCAAAAGCATACCGCACGGTACAACAAGAATGGCAGTGGCAAAAGCTTGCCCCCTAATGACGGCTTTAGTGTGGTGGGATAGAAAACCCGTGCAATTCTTGGGGACTGGATCGAGCCGTGCGATGGAGGAGTGTCGTACGTATATGCAAGAGGAGTGCTGTTTCCTATTCATCTAATCAATGTTGTGCTTGTTATCAGAGAGGCGTACACGTGGAACACACGGCAGACGGACTGATGTCCCTTGTCCTGCTATGATTCGAGACTATCACAAATGGATGGGGGCGTGGATGTCCATGACCAGCTGCGCCTCCAGCGTTACTCGTTGCAGTTGCAGAGTTGGTGCAAGAAATACTACAAGTCCATATTCTTGGGGCTTGTGGATGTGGCGATTGTGAATGCGTATATCATCTTTCGTGAGGCACAGAAGCGAAATGATGGGTCTCCAATGTCGCACGCAGAATTCCTAGTGAAGCTTCATGCCCAGCTGCTTGCTCTGACCAAGTACGACTTCGATGAAAGTGTAAGTCCTGATGTTGTATCTGTATCATGTTGAATAATGCTGACATGTTGTATGACCCACATGCTGTATGCTGACAGCCAAGACCACAAGAGACCGCAGCTGGCGACGAGCTTCCACCCTTGCCACCTGGCCACGAACCTCGGGAATGTCCTGAGTACCAGATCGTGAAAGGCGTGCGCAAGCGCCGGCAGCGCCAATGCAAAGTGTGCGCAATTCTGAAGCGCCGGGTGGGAGAGCGTCGAGCCACCAAATACTATTGCGATGCCTGCAGCACTTCTGATAAAGCTCGGTACGTACGAATTCGATATGGCTAAACGACTACT